TTGATCGCAGTGCGTGGCCGTGAATCGAGAGTTTTATTTTTTTTTTATATTCGCCAGAGGGAGAGCTGATAATCCCTGTCTGGCGAACCCCATTTGTACTCGTTCTAGCGTCATCCAGAAATTATGCATTCAAGATCTTATCATTCAACCTATAGCCGAATATTCCTCGACACGGCGTTCAAACACGTTCAGCGCACTAGCTTTCTTCTTAGTAAGGGTCCACGTTGTTGAGGCATACATCAGTACTGGTAGAATATACGTGGATTTTCGCTGAAGTACTGAGAGCAATTTTCTACAAATTCTGCTACAGCATCTTATGTGCAATTCGAGCCTTTTTGATCGATCCTTTCCTGGACCTGTTTCACACCCTCACTGGTGATCATCGATTCAAAATAGCAGTACCTGGTGCCATACTGCACATCCTTCCAGTTAATTTTCATCGTGTTGATATTTTCAGGGGCTTGTCGTGAAACTAGGAATTTGCCAGGCCGTTCTTGGCGCTGGCTGTTTCCATTGCCGTCAACGCTTTCTGAAGTTCCTCCGGATTCAGTGCGATCCCGGAAAGTCGTCAGCATAGCCCACATCTTGTAACCGGTGTCCCGATGATTGAAGTATTACTTCGCTAACAAAGTTTCTAACTGGCTCTGTCATCATGGCATCAATGCAATAGTTGAATAACATAGCTCCGGTGACCGACCTTTGCTGTCATTGAAGACCGACGAAAGTAAAGAGTTGAGAATAGGTGGCAATGACTGGAGCGATATCGATATGCGTCTGTGACGCGCTACCTCTGAAGAGAAGAAAAAATATGAATTTCAGATCCACAGTATAAGTCGGTAATTCGAAATTCAAGGACCTTGAAATTAAAATTTCAAATAACAAAATCGGGTTTATTCTAAGCTTATAACAAATACTTAACATCGATAAAAGTGTTAAATAGACGTTAGATTTCATTACAAATGATAATCACTTAATCAAGTTGTTTGAGCAATCGGAACTGCTCTCTGCACAAAAGTCACATCACAATTTGCAGAAAACGAATCTGTACAGTGTAGAATGAATACAGTCAATCAATTGCAGTCAGAACTATTATTTATAACTCTGAAGAATGAACAAAACCGTCAGTTGGTAGTTAAACTCCTGCAACAAGAGCACCAATTTATAGGTTAAACCGTATTCGTGGGGAGGCGGATTTTTAATCATTGGTATATGGCTCATTCGTCTTTGATTTTCTGAGACAGCTGAAAAAAGAAGTTTAAGCCATGCTATGTGAGCTAAAGTGAAAGAGCAGGAAAGTTGGACTTTAGATAAAGCAGTTAGAAACGAAGGCAGTGATAAAAAACGAATTCATACAAGCAGCTGCAGTAACTATCAGTGATTATCAGACAGAAGAAATCGCAGAGTTTGTCCGTTCTGGACAGCCACTTGAGTCATGCGACTCGTTCGACCCAGAACTCACTAGGAGTCGTAAGGTGTGGAGAACATACAGAAGAAACACCGACGTTCGTTGAAACCGAAAGCTATTAATTACGATTAGAGCTACATAGTATGAAAGCATCATATTACCAATTGTTCTATATAGTTGCGACACCTGGGCATTAACAAAATGTGAATAACTGTTGATAGTGCAGCAATGCGTTGTGTAACGAAGGGTGCTAGGGAGTTCTATGAGGCACGAGCTGTGAAATGAGAAAACAAGACGTACGGGAATTGAACGTACGTACGTAGCATCAGCCTAGCAAGAAAGAAAACGGCAATAGCTGTCATTTCGCAAGGCTGACGGATAATTGATAGTCTTTAACAATCACAGATTAATACGCAAGAAATTTAAAGCACCAAATTTAAAGACCTAGGATCAGATGGGACGATAATCTAAAAAAAAAGATATGTAGAAGCTTGTTAAGGCAGATCGCACGAAATGGACGAGCGTGGGCATTGAGATTAAGTAGTGGTAATCCTGGTTAATCGCGAAGAAGGATCAGTTATTCAAATAAGTTATAACAATTCTGATTCTGCGCCACATTACATGGTTGATTCATGGTTGAGATTACAAAGTCATAGATTTTGACACTTAGTACCAATGCGTTTCGCTGCACGTTCCGTTGCATCGTCAGCTACCATTAGTCATCAGAGTATTACCCGCGCTATCTAAACAAAATGCCTCCATACAAAATCAGTGCTTGACTGACAACAGATTTTTACCATCACAGTCATAACTTCAAACTATACGGTTTAACCTCGACCACTCATTTTATGGTAGCAATTTTTTTCGTAGCAAGTTCGTAATGGCACTTATCACGACATTATTACACATACAATATATAATCGCGAAAATGTATCGGTACCGCTTTATCAACAGACCAAACTTCAATTGCCATTTCTATGTTACAGATATATTCAAGAAGGATGTTCTGCATTGCCAGTTATCAACAGGCCCGAAACGGATCGTGAATAAATGTTTTTTAATGCAATTCAAATTTCGATAGACCCTTTCAATGTATCTTATTGCAATTATGACGCTCGACACTGTAAACCACTTTCAACACCTCCGAGTAAATTTCTTGAATAAAAGCAACTCCTCAATAATACTCTTGTGCTAGACCCTGAATCCGATGCTGCTTAGGTATCTTCTGACTGGCTAAGATACCTGGGGGATGCATGGTAAAATTACAACGTATATTCTCACACGGTTGTAGCTGAACTACAACAGTCCACTGTACAGTGCACTCCTTAAACATACGTTCTTAAAGAGCACGCAGTAGAGATTTAGAATTTCGGCGTCGGAGGAGCGACGTTTCCTAGGCATGTTAATGTCGTTGTTTCTTAAAATATCAGTTTTTTTGTTTGGAGCATAGCTCCCACAGGAATAGATTCGGTCTCAGACTCTTAGGGGTAGCCATTCTCTAAAATCCGTTCTTTGGAATACTTGACACGATGAAGCATGATAGCCCGTTCTAAAAGCTAGGGTAGGCTCGAAAGTTGTTCAAGAACCCAAAACGAGACAGTGATTCATCATTGAGACTCTGGGTGGGAGGGGTACTACCTAGAATGTTAATGAAACTCTAGGTATTGTCCAATGTTGCAGTAGGACAGAAAAATGACCGTGCTTCGCGGAAGGCAATAGTGATCACTGATTCAAAAGCAATCTTTACTCACACAGTGAAATGGATGCATTCAGTGTATTGCATGTTCTTCACTTTAACGAAAACAAAGCACAAAACGATTACGATAATTTTGGTCAACATGATGATGCAGAAGAATGACCAGCAAAATATGAAAATATATTTTTGAGCAAAACGTGCTTGCGAAAAAAAACGACCTCTGAAATAATAGCGAACGTTGCTAACAGCGCTACTTCTAACCGTCAGACATAAAGCTGAGTCACTCTATTGTTTAAACTCTATTAGTTAGAGTCAGATGAAGATGACAAAGTAAGAGCAACAA